TACTACTCCAAACTTAAGCTACTTAACTAAGCATTCCAAGAGCTTTTTCAATGGCTTGCCTATTTCCTAGTGGAAGGTTGTAACTTGTCTGGCCTAAGGTTTCAGTCAGTGTGAAATACATGGGACCATGCATTGTACGAATGTTTTTCCCCAGTAAAGTCACTTGTTTGGAATGCAGGACTTTGTAACCTTCAGTTAGTAGGACTAAGGTCCAACCAGTAATCTTTGTAAGTTGTCCTGTTTGCTGTATTTAAGTTGGCTTAGTGATAGCATAGAATAACCAAAACCTTTCTTCTGCTTCGGTATAAACGGGCAAAATTAAAGGTTTTTCCTCCTGGCTGTGCTTCATGTTTTTGCCAACAGCCATGATTCGAGGTCATCTGATGAACTCTTGAACACTTGCTTCTCATCTTCACCTGTGAGCTTCCATGCTGCAGAAGCCAACTGTTTTTTCTCAATCAACATCAAATCTTTGCACTCATCTAAAGGACATTATAAAAATAAGATTCTGGGTGATTCATCAATATTGTTCTGGGAATGAGAATTTGTGGAAACTTCCCAGGGGTGAAGTTTATAATATCCTCATAATAAAAACAGACAAAAAAGTTGAGGTCACCAAGCTCATTCTGACGATTTGACAAATGCAACATGCCAAATCCCCCCCCCCCCATATGGCACAATCTTGACCCTTTTATGAGTTATATGAACATTTATTGAATCTCAACCTTTATTGAATCTTATTAACAAGGATCCTATATATTTATATACAAGAAAACACGGTTTAGCAAAACAAAAAGCATTGACGTGCATTGTCATGGTGGCGACAAAAAAGCACGGTCAGAGACCTTCTTAAAGAAATAAAACATGCAACATGATGTGGTTTAGTGTTAGTTGCACAGGAGCCCTAGCCAGAGTTCTATCATTTCTGAAGATATATTTCCTGAAGCACACAATATCAATGCAGAGTGATTTTCTCTTTGCTCTTACTCTTACTTTATCACTTTGTTATTAGATATGTAGCATAAAAGAGCAGAATACAAAACTGATGAATCACCACATGGTTATATTTCATGGCTGAATATTTGCATTTTATTGCTTCACCAAGACAATGTTAGTAAGCCTAGGGTGAACCACTGAACCAGGTAGAGCTTTTTGCTATCCGGCCAGAATATCCAGTCGGATATGTTTGATATATAAGCTAGGTTTGAGCTTTCAATTCATTTAAGGTAAAACAATGGTTTCAATTGACTATAAAATGGCTCGATTGTTTATACTATTTTGACTCAAACACATGGATATTTACACTTCATTATGTTGTTTAACAATAGTCAATCTTTTTATTCTAACATTTGCATGCTCTCTGTTTCATGACTGAAAGTGTCTGACTGTCTGGCAGCAGACAAAGTAACATATGACCATATGACTCAGTTCCAGCTGGAACTTTCTTCCAGTTCCGGCCAGATCCAGTTCCAGCCGGAACTTAAAAAAAGGTTTCTGGTGCACCCCTACAGGTCTAGCCTAGGAAGGCGCTTGATCGTGTGTGCATGCCTATTAACTCATTAAGCCGCAATGCGTCCCAGTGCACCCTACTTTTTTGCTTGTCTAATGCCAATGGGGAAGCTCTGCACTTTAAGGGGTTAACCAAAAAATCTGACAATGTCTCTAGTTATTATGCACCTATCAATGTTAAGCCCCAGAGGGGGGGGGGGGTTCTGGCATATGTGGGGTATTTGATTATCAATTCCATCCCCACCCTGGGGATTTTGATTAGCATTTTGGCCCCGAGTTGGGGCAATTTGAACCGAATGACTGTTATTAACATAGTATTTATTGCAATTTATTGCAAGATGGTGGGGCATTTGACCAATATTTATTGCCCGACGGTGGGGCATTTGATTGGAAATTTGCTCAAAAAATCAAATGCCCCACCTATGCCCTATTCCCCCCCCCCTCTGGGGCTTAACATTGATAGGTGCATTAAACCCATTGAGACGTAATGTGCCCCAGTGCCCTTACTTTTTTTTACTTGTCTAACGCCAGACAATTTCACTCATCAATGGGGAAACATGCATGTTACAGTAAGTTCAGACTGTCAACTAGGCATGTAATAACAATATACGAAGTAGACTCTCGCTTAAGTAGGTGCATAGAAAATAGTGCCTTGAATGCACAGTAGCTGCACTATTGATCAAGTATCTTGGTTTTCATCCAAGCAAGGCCTGATACTAGTTTATATTAGTATATTTTTGTATGTCATCTAGTGTCTTTAATAGTAAATAGTCAACATTAACATCACTATGATATCTATATTTACCTTTATAACTTGAGTCGTTGTTAAGCCAGTTTCTGCTACAGCGCTTTCGATCATTTCGCGATAATTTAGACCAACACCGACCATTCAACGGCCGTAAAACCTTTCCAAAATATCTCTCTGGTTGTCGCTTATTCTAGTTCTCTTTCCTATCTCCATTTCATTGCACAGAATCGCAAATAGACTAGAAAATCTGCTAGAAATGTTTTCAAATATGGCAGCTCAAAGCTCGAGAAAAACGTGTGATAGAAAGACGATTGTGATTGGTTTATATATAATGATATGCGAAAGCGTCAGCGTCAGGTAGCGCAGGCGATAGTCTGGCACGGGTAATACCGAATATTCTCAATTGAGAACATATGGGTAATACCCGTTGAGGTGCATGCTAAACGGGTGCTAGCGTAAGTGTAAACATATACATGTTCCAACTCATGTACTTTTATTGTATTTACCTAGCTTTAATTCTGTTAGTTTACATACTGTATGCAGAGAAAGCATTAAACAAATATGAGAAATTATAAGACTTCAAAAGCTTACAAACAGACATATTAAATATACATTCAGTAACAACACGCTAATTGCTATAAATAGCAACGTTACAGTCTAGTAATATAATATGATGATTTGTTGTGCTTTTGTTGTAAGTAGACCTATCATTAAAATATCTTGAAAATCCTTCTAAACGTTTCTTTATAAAGTATACAAAGCATATGCATTGATATCGAAACACAAAATTCAAAGTTTTGAACAATTTGAGCTTCGTGACTTTGTATAGACGTATAGGCCTAATGATTTAATTGTGTTACATTCCACTGGAAGTCACCAAAATGAGCTTTTTTAAAAGTCTCGTGCGAGGCTCCAAGGCAATAACCCAAGCTAGTTTTTATATATAACATGTACTCATGCTATACCATTCCGTGGATGAAATATAAACAAATTCATGATTATCGCACATAGTGAATTTCCCCTTCAAATCCAGTGACAAAATGCAATTCTAAAATTTGACTAAAAGTAGCCAATTTCAACGACGTCTGTCAGGCCAGTTAAAACCTCCTGGACCATTCTATATTGATAACAGTGTTCTTTAATACTTGAATTATAGTCATTAAACTATCAGAACTATCTACGGGCAGTTTTGAACCGTCGCGAAGTGATGAAATTGACCATGGCAACAGATTTGTCTGCAGCTAATTATAGCCTTCCGGAGACAAATTCTTGATTTCTGATATTTGTACGTTTATCGACCAAATATTGAATATCTAACCCAAACACCATTTGTAACTAGGTTTTACCTAAATTTAAGCAAAATATGAAAGAAATTTATTTCTCATCTATTGCCACTGTTTGCTCGATTTTAAGTCGCTCTTAACCGGTGTTAACTTATAGATTGAAAAGAAATTAAATTAATAGTATTTTTATAAATTTCCTCTCGATTTCACTTCCTTGCGAGCACGCCATCTTGACCTTTGTCACATGGTATAAAATGGTAGAGCCTGGGGATTCCATTGGACAAAACGGTACAAAATAGTACAAAATGGCCGCAGACAATCCCCTAACAATCACCATTATCTTCCCGGCGTATTTCGGCAGAATGACAAAACCAACAAATTCCCGACATGGTTGGGACATAATTCGATGACAAAAAGCCACTAAATCCCCACCAAGTCCCCTCTTTGTCCGGGGTGGGGGGTTACTTTGACTGGTGCATTAGACATCTCAATATCTGATCGTGTTCGTAACTGATGCAATCTACATGTCTATTTACATTAACTAGACGGCTTAATTCACGACACTTATTGGCTTTATTTGAGATGTTTCTCACATGCTCATTCCATCTGAGATTTTCAGAAAGATGTATTCCGAGATACTTGATGATGTTTACAGCTTCAAGAGCGCGATCGTGAAGTTTGTAGTCGAAAATAATAGGTGTTTGTCGTCTCGTAATTCGAAGAACATTACATTTGGTAGTATTAAATGCCATTTTCCAGTCTTTCTCCCATCTTTCTAAACTCTGTAAATCCTGCTGCAGTCGCAGACAGTCGTCTACCGATTTTACAACAAAATAAACGACTGTGTCAGCAAAAAGGCGCACCCTGCACTTTATACACTTCGGTAAGTCATTAATGAAAGCCAAGAATAAAATTGGCCCCTGGACGGAACCCTGAGGGACTCCCGACGTACATTGGGTGTAGCTTGATCTCTCTCCTTCCAAAATAGTGCATTGTTGTCAGTTTTTAAGAAAGTTCTGTATCCAACCCAATGTATAATGATCAATACCATAATTTGACAACTTAAATATCAATTCTTTATGCGGGACTTTGTCAAATGCTTTTGAGAAATCCATTACAATGACACCAGTCTGCCCTCCGCCTTGCATTTCCCTTGCAATGTCGTTAATGAACCCAATCAACTGAGTTTCGCATGAATGTAATTTGCGAAAACCATATACAGCTAGTTCAATTAAGGTTGTCCCCGAGCATAGCGAAAAAGTCGCATACGAGCGCGAAAGGCTGCTGGGAATCGCTAATAAATGAATGCATTTATTAGCATTTCCCAGCAGCCTTTCGCGCTCGGGTGACAACCTTAATTGAAATATTTGTATGTTGAAAGTCATTAAGTATATGGTGTTTTTCAAAGTGATTGATAACATTAGAAACTAGGATATGTTCCATAACCTTGCTGCAAATACACGTAAGTGAGATTGGCCTGTAATTCGCGGGCAATTGCTTGGATCCCTTCTTCAAAATTGGTATCAGCAATGCTAGTTTCCAATCTGATGGAACTACACCAGTCTGGAGAGAAGTTCTGAAAATCTTGCACAAAGCTGGAGCAATGATTGTGCTCAGCTCTTTTAATACACGTGGATGTAGGCTGTCAGGCCCAGCTGCTTTATATGGCTTTAAGCTTGATAATAATCTCCTGACCCCTTCCACTGTAATGTCAATTTGAGGCATGTGTGGATAGTAGCGCTGGTCTGATATTTGTTGTCTTTGTGCTATCTCTGCAATATGTGCAAGCTTCATTGGATCAGACTGCGAAAAATTGCTTTTGAATTGATCATTCAACAGTTCTGCTTTAATGCAAATGTCAGTCACCACTGAGTCTCCTAGTTTAAGTGAAGGAATTCCTACTTTGTCAGTTCGTGCATGTTTAATGAAGGCCCCAAACCGTTTATCACAACGAGGTTTTTGTTGTTAGCTCCTGTCGTCTGTTTCCTCAAAAATGTTGTTCACGTACTCCCAATAAGCTTGGCGGATTCTTCTTTGCTCTTCATTTTTTAGAGATTTATGTTGTTTAATATCTCTCGGATTGTTTGTTTTGTTCTTAATTCTAAAGTACTTATTTCTCTTTCGGATGATACGTGTGAGGTCAGCGTTTATCCAGGGCAGGTTGTTTCTGGATCTCGCAAGTTTAGTTGGGACAAATTTACTAAAAAAAGATAACAGATAAACTAGTATACTTATCAGTAGTATAAATGCTGACTTGCTCCTTAATTTGACGATATATAAAAAACGGCCTCATCTTTCCAAATTAACAACGCACCCCAGTTTAAATACAATCTCGTGAGCTCCTAACCCATCATAACTGACAGTAAGCTCAACACTAACTTAATCGTTGTGACGTCATTATTGTAAATATGAATAAATCCTTGTTTCGGTCACAAATATACACCGTTTGTTACTCATGACGATAAAACGAGCTACCATGTGTATGAACCAGCGACCAATAAAACGTAGAGATATGCATGTGGACGGATTTGACAGTGAATTGCATGAAACGCGTATTCAATACAACAATTTGAATATGCATAATCATTCATTATCGTCTAAAGGTATTCAACGTCAAGAAATAAGCGTACAATAGCATGTATGTGGGAACCATATATACAAATCTAGAGATTAGACATCAGAGTCAAGAATGCATTCATTCTAATGAAAACGTTGTTCATTAATATTGTTAAGCACCAACAGGCGAACAATAAAATAAACTTACAATCATTACAATGGTCTTAATTGCCAACTGTGTGTTTCTAATAACAATAGAATTCTTATCTTATATATTCTAACACTACAATGCGATATCAAGCAGGAAATGTCATATCCTTCAACTCTGAATGGCCTCCCGTTTACTGTATGCAGCGTGGAATGTATATTTGCATGAAGCGGTACCTTTGCCCGCCTCGAAACTCTTCCTAAAGTAGTCGTCGATTTCTTGCCGCGTTTCTATCACCCGTCAAACGCTGAATTCCGGTGTCTGTGTTCTTGTGCGATTCTATTATGTACTCCTGAACATGTCCATGTACCTACATATTGTATGTATACAGTAATCTACAGATACACAGATTTGTTTGTGTGAGACTGCTTATTGTTAAACAAAGTGCGCAAGCCCTTTCATGTCTCTATACACCGGGGTGTTAGGAATATTCCATCACATTCATGCCAATTATAGGTAGTTTTAGTTGAAAAGATATCGGTGTTAAATGAACTTGATAAGAATTCTATTGTTATTAGAAACACACAGTTGGCAATTAAGACCATTGTAATGATTATACATTCGTTTTATTGTTCGCCTGTTGGTGCTTAACAATATTAATAAACAACGTTTTCATTAGAATGAATGCATTCTTGACTCTGATGTCTAATCTCTAGATTTGTATGGCTCCAATATACATGCTATTGTATGCTTATTTCTTGACGTTGAATACCTTTAGACGATAATGAATGATTATGCATATTCAAATTTTTGTATTGAATACGCGTTTCATGCAATTCGCTGCCAAATCCGTCCACATGCATATCTCTACGTTTTATTGGTCGCTGGTTCATACACATGGTAGCTCATTTTATCGTTATGAATAACAAATGGTGTATATCTTTGATCTTGACCGTAATTACAACCCATCCCTAGCCCTAGCTTTATTGTGCGCGAAACATGAGAATCTAACCATAAACTTTTTTTAATCTTTCTATCCTACCGTTACTCTAATATCTGTGACATCAGAACAATAGTATGGAAACTTGCACCCATTTTTGGAACCTTTTCACTATAGACCACAATATCAGCCAATAATTATTTTAAGAGCACACAGATTATTCAATGCTTTTAATTACACAACAACGATACACTGTATCGTGTGTACAAGTGCTACATGAAATAAGAAAAGACAAAAGAAAATAAGGCGAAGAGCACAAACGCATAAATTCGCTTTCGATGCGTTATAAATTGTTTGTAATAAACAAATTCAGTATATATAATGTACGACCAGCCAGAAACCAACAGACCAGGCATACAATGAAATACAAAATACACCAAAAGAACTGCATCGTTACCGGGTTATATAAAATGACTAATGAGATTCCCCGTATTTATAGCATCATGCATGCAAAGCATTCTGGTCGGCTAACAGCAATGCATTCTGGTCGGAGAAACGGAAGTAAAATCTTACTTTCAGAGCCCAATACGAATTAGAACTGCTGACTTGCTCGCTTGCTTCAGGCTCGCTCGCTGCGTCAGCAATGATTGCCAAGAAGATTCAACATTTTCTTCACACTCCAGGTGCAGAGGGTAAAAATCTTTGCATGGCGGTTAGACGTGTTATTTTGAACACCGCTAGCCCGAGTCAAAATTTAGCTAGTTCGTTACTCGACTTTGCCAATAATGATTCCCTGAGTACAGGTGAAATTTACCGTACCAGAAAGCAAACCGAATCGACATTTGAATCGCTTGGCCTATGCTGGACGGGTGATTTCGAATCACTAAAACACTTTGTAGCTGACTCTTTGAAGCTGAATGGTACCTGGTCTCAACCTGGAGGCGATAAAAAGGTTTTTGTTGCTGAAGACGCTTCTATCATATGGAGGAAGAATAAAAACATCCTAACTATTGAAGGAGTAAAGGAAAATCAACTAAAGAGGGAAGTTTGCAGATATATCTGCGACTATTCGAGCGAATCGTTTGATGCTTCGACAGAAATTGAGGATCTCAAGCAAGGACAGCAGTCGAATGAGGAGGCAATTCAAGCATTGTCGGACACGATTAGTCATATGGGCGCTGTTGTTTCGCAATTTCAAGACTTTATGGACAAAAATAATAAGAGTATTGGCGAGAAAAAATATGACCGACCTGCCGAATACAAAAATCTACATGCTGGACATGTAAATGAAATGCGTGATCGTGACGCTAATGACGCCGAAGGGAATAAGTCTATCAATACAGAGCAATTAGAAAGTATTATTATAAACGATTGGGATAACAGCTTATTGCCTAATATCACAATAGCCTCTTGTGATGCAGAACCCATCGGTAATAAAGGTCAAAATATGCGAACGATTGATAAATTGCATACTACGAACAATGGGATTATTCCAATCAAGGTGAACAATGGGGGTGAGTGCAATGTAAACGAGAGCGTGACTAATGACCCTGTTATCCTGGTAAACCTCATTGAAACTGATAATGACAATCTAAAGCATAAGCATAATGTTAATAATCCCATTGTATCAGCAGAAGTTGCAACCTCTATTAAATACGATAATAAACAAGTAAGAAACAACAATCAAGCCACTTTTGCGGAGGTAGTGACA